CTGGGCGACCATGTTGACAAGCCCCAAATCCCAAGACGGCTTCAGCCGCATACTCTCCACCAACGATCTCCAGAAGCTTAAGGCACCAGGCATGCTCGACCAAGTTACCCAAGCCGAAAGCATGCTCCAAGATGCCTGGAAAATCCAACAGGAAAATCTTGTGAGGCAGACCCACCATTCGGCCCACTTGACCAAATGCTTTGGTCGACTTGCAGTCAGAGTTTGTTTATTCCTGACGAACAAACAAAAGTCAGGCCGGGAAACCAAGCACTGGCCATCTCTGCAAGCCATCTTGAGTGCCTATACCAAGGAAATCCAAGATACCTCGACGGGAGATGCCAGCAGTGCGGACCATGGCAAAGCACAGACGGACATGAAGGTCACGGATGTCTTGGCGGCGAGCCACAAGACCATAGCCATGCTGCAAAACCATCATATGGAAATGGGCAAGTTGTTGCTTGGACCGGAACCTAGCAATTAATTGCGGAAGACAGAATATATACTTGCAAGAGTATACATTATATAGGCAGAGATTTCGATGCAGATGTATATGATGTGAAGTGCTAAGGTACACTTGCAAGGACCACGGTGCCAAGGTCTTCCAGCTGACTGACTTGACGGACGACCATGCCACCATGACTCACAAGCCACTCTTCCAGGACAAGGAAGAAGTCCATGTGCCCTTGCAGAAGTTGCCAACGTGGAAGGCCACCAAGGCCCTGATGCCCATGTTGTGCCCCCAGGAACTTGCCACGGAAGGAATGACAGCCAAGCTTCTCTTGGAGGAGCGGGCCAGGTCGGAGGTGCAGCTGGCTCTCCACAAAGCGGCGGAAAGGCACCATGTGGATGCCCAGACCATCGCTTTCGGCCAGAACCCGCAGGGGGTGTTTGCGGCCAAGGCCATTCGCAAAACCATTCGTTTGGTTCCACTGGGCCCGGTGAACAAAGCCAAGTCGACCGCCAAGGAAACGAAGCTTCTCATCGAGCACGGCGGCCACAGCTGGACCATTGGGCCATTCCGCCAGAATGTCCACTTCGAAGCAGACAGCCCATGCTGCTTGATTCCATATTTCTGGTGCAAGCCCACGAGCGAGCCATCCGAGGTCACCATGGTGCACTCCACGGTCGTCGAGTCTGGGATTACCATCCCCTGCTTGGAGAATCCAGCTCCGCTGGAGCAGTGCCAGCAGCTTTTGTTCCTGGCCGCCCATGCCGAGGCTTCCGAACCAGACCATGCCGAGGAGGGGCCATCAGAGGCCAACCCTAAAGCCAAAGCCAAAGCCAAGGTGAAGGCCCAGGCCAAGGCCAAAGAGCAGTCGGAGCCTCCGTCCAAGAAGGCCAAGAAGTGAAGAGCTTCTGCAGCCCCAAGGGAGCGGGCTCCACTTTTAAAGACCCAAAGACCATGGCGGGTTTTGAGACCAGCCGCCTGACTTTTGCTGGAGCAGAAATGTTATGTAAGGGCAACTCCCGAAAGGGCGGGGGTGCAGTTTTGCAAGCACGTGCCATTTAGCCCATGAATGGACAGCATGCATGACATGTCCGCTGTGAAGTAATTCTTGTTCGTCCATGCACAGCAGCTGTTTGCCAGAGAAGACCATAGACCGTCCAAACGAATGCATCATGGAGCTTGCTGCAACCTCCCCTGAGCCATGCCAAACTGCAGGGTGCCAGCGGTTTGCCAAGTTCGGCCGACCCCGCTGCTGCAGGAAATGCCGTGAACATGGCACCCACGGCTCCAGATGTCTTGGAAGACAGGACCACTATGCGGCCAAGCGGACCAGCAGCACCACCGGCATAACCGGCACTCCTCTCCGCTTGAACCCAAGCTGGCTGGTCATGTGGTTCGGCGCCAACCTACGGGTGCGGACCTTTCTCCTCCATGCCCACGAAACCATGGAGGAGTTCCAAGTGTCCATGGAGCCATCCACAGCATCGGAGTCCTGGAAAACCTGGCTTCGAGCCCAACTGGTGGCCGTGCATCCAGCCACCAATGGTGACCAAGGGTCCAATGCTGAGCTCGCCAAAATAATCAAAGAGCTTCTGCAGGAGCCATGAGCATGCCTGGACGGTGCGAAAACATGTGCTTGCAGGCAAATAGAGACATGTGTCTAGAAGCATCTGCCTAAATGCTGCTGGTCATGACACACGTGCAGCATGCCATTCTTTTCTGTCAACAAAGAAATTATAGATGCATGCACACACACACAGAGTTATATTTTTGTTTTCTGAAGGGCTTCTTGTGCAATCTTTTAGAATTTTCTATACATGTATATGTATGTATACCTGTGTGTATATATATATA